GAACCACAATGTTGACCCCGGACGAATCGACCATGCGGCTTGATGAGGCATGCCTCCCCAAAGTGATCCGGATTTGTTCGTACATTGGGACACTCCCCCAAGCAAAATCAACCATGACATATGAATGCTGGGTTGTCTGGCGTCTCACGCAGAGGACGTCAACGTGTTTGTAGCTGACTTCCATTGGGGAACCGCACTCCCAAGTAAAGGGCTGGCCAGAAACAGCCTCAGGCACATCTCTGCGCCGAATTCCCCCAACTCATGCAACAAGCACTTCAGGCGTCTGTGAACCTGTGAGTAAACGTATTTATGCAATTGGTCATGAATACAGTAGAAATGGGACGTTATCATTTTGGTGCTATCATTTTGGGCATGCGTATTTGTGATGGATACAGTAGAACGGAGACGCTATCACAGTTAACCCGTTGAAGAAGAGAGAAACATATTCGAGCATGCCACAAATTGCTGAGTGCAGGAAAGTGCTGGAAGGCTTGCTGATCTCAGACGACTTTCCTGGACAAATATGAGAAAGTAGCGGGGCCGCGACGGGCGGCGTGGCTTTATTTATATGTCCCCTTTTGCTGACCCGGATTTCCACTGGGCGAAGACTCGCGACCCAAACCCTGGGCGCTCGGGCCGTATGGGGGGCGCTTCAGGCGCGGACACCCCGGTCTCTTGGAGCCATCCATCCGAGGATCGAATCGCATTGACGGAGATAGGTGGGTCTTCTTTTCAGGGTGCGTACCGATCATGGAAGTGGACAAGAGGGGGTTGGAAGACGATCCTCTTGAAAAGGGCTCTCCACTCCGTAGGACTGTAAGGGTGTTCACGCGGGTTGAATCAGATGCATTGCGGGTCAATATCTTAAAATCTAACAAGTGTAAATAGCAGCAGCTCTTGGACGAATGCACGTCTATACATCTGCAAGAAGTATGGGTATTCATGAGCATTTGTACACATGCAGTGTATACATAAATACATGACTACATATATTATATGTGTGTATATAGATATATTCTGTGTACATACTTGTACAGCTACGCATTACAAACAAATGCATGGCCTATTCCGGTTCCAACCAACTGGGCACGCGAGGCGAAAGGGTGAAATTTATAGATGTCCGAAGGTCTCTTGGCACGGTACATATCCCAGGACGAGGGAAGCGTGTTGCTTGGCTTCTTTCAATTTATTGCGGCCTGAGTTAGGCAAAGCAAACGCCTCAAGCACAAATCCTCAAGGATGTGGAACATCCTGGCCATGTTCCGGGTAGTTCATGAAGTGTTGGATCCATTGCATGCGCGAAAACTTGTAGCAAACAATCGCAAAATAACCCGCAGACCGCTACATCTCCAACCCGACCATCATGGCACACACACACACACAAACACACCAGAAAATTAAAGTCAAACATTCGGCCTTGAATCAGAACAAGGTCAGGCACCGCGCCTGCAACAGGGAAAGGATGGTGGAAGGTGGTACCAACCGAAACACTTCTGCAGAGTCTCCAACCAAAGAGCCGGCTGATGCTTGAATGGCAGCACAACATGCTGTCCCCTGCATTCACGAAAACGTGTCGTGTCCGTCATTGGCCATGAGCATTAGCAAGAGAGAGAGAGAGAGAGCGAGAGCCATGGTTGACTCTCATGCCTGAGAATTCCGTCTGCCTCGATGCTTTCGGGCTGGGAAGTGAATGTTGAAGGTTAGCCACTGGCGGCTCGCTGAGCCCCTTTTCGCTCTCTTTGCTCGTTAGCTCGCTGGCCGGCCGCACCGTGGCAAGGCTTAAAGCTCACTGACATCTTTCTCTTACAGGACATGTCTTGGGAATGTGTCCAAAGTCAACCCTGTTTCCAAGTTCGACCGCACCATCCAGCTTTAACAGCGCGCCTGTGGGTCACTCACCATGATGCCAATGAAAAAAGCCTCGCTACCAATGCGGCCCCATCAGAGGCAAAGACTTGCTTCAACCTGGCACTCATCTGGAGTTGCCTGGCAACCGCCCTGACATCACGGCTCAATACTCGCATGTTTCTGGAGGCAAGATGGGGGCCATCAAAAGTCTGGTGACGAACTACCCCAGTACTCTGCATGCTTCTGCGGTCAAACTGTGCATACTGCCGTGGAAATCTGCCAGGCCACTTTGGGCATCCGGCAGCACAGAGAACAAAAGGCTCTGCCATGTCACTTGCGGTAGAAGCTTGCCTGGTCCAGTGACATCTAATCTGGCATGCTGCGAGAGAAAAGCAAGTCCGAACTGAGCTGGTCGTACACAAGGGCACTGGTTGCATAACGCTTTGACAATTGCAGTGTGGCGGTAGAAATCCTGCACCGTGGCAATCTGACTCTTTCAAATTGGGCACCGGGAAAACGAAAACTACAAAATACACCTCTTTTGGATGAATTCCGATTTGTGTGATGCAGCCCAAGTAGGAAAAAAATGCATGAACCGTGTAAATAACCATGCAAAAACCATACAGCAAGCAAGCCGCCTCCAATTGGGATGATTTAACCGGGGGCTAAAGGGGGGACATCTGCGGGGTCAAAACTCCGCATTTGGGCAATTGGTTCTCCTAAAAAGCACGCTGGTCGTCTCTAGTCTCAAACAGCTCACAACCATCCATACCCCCAATTAGAAGGATGTGTTGAGCCATGGCCCATGTGCTTCTCAAAATCGGGATCCCTTAGTGGTTGGCTTCCTTTTGGTTTCCCTCTACCACCCGAAGGAACCTCCGCCATGAGAGCGATACGTCCACTCGCCGAGCTTGCGGATTCCCGAAGCTCGGCTCATCGGCGAAGCTCGGCGAAGATCGGCTCAGCGCCGGCCGTCCTGGCAAGCGGAAAGGGGCCGCCCGGTCCGAAGCAAACCGTATGCTACCAAACAGCAACATGCATGCTATGCTTAAAGGCATGCTATGCTTAAAACATGTGTGTTTATCTTTTGCGCTATCAATGTATCTATGTATAGGCTGATGTGGGATTAGATTCATGAATTGCTTTCATTGTCGGTCGTCATGAATGTTGTTTTTTTGTGAATGGTGTTTTATGTGTGACTTGGTTTGTTCGATTGTTGTTTTATCCAGTTCTTTGCCATTTAGTTTGTTAACTAGTTGCTCATTGTTCTATTCTCTGGCTTGTCATTGATTCATGTGCTCAAGTATTCATGTTTGTTGCATATATTTGTTGCTTAGTTGTTTGTTTATTCATATACGTACCAATCTATTTACGTACTCTCCCGTCCACGTTGCTATGGAATCCACCACAATTGCCCCTACAGTCTTTAGTCAGGTTCCACGGCCCCCCCAAAAAGTTGCTGCCCAGTTCTTTGGAGCTGTGCTGCTTCCAAACACTTCTGTTTTCTAACAAACGCACGGGCATGATGCGTGGTAAACGTCTCTGTTCTCGCAGAGTGCATCGGTAATCAGCCACGTTTGCGACCAAAAAGCCGAGGGTTTTTCAAGCCAGGTTTCCCGGAATCCCATTTCACCCGCCCAAAAAGGGGGTTTCTTGCAGGGTCCTTGGAAGCTTTGGGACATGGGTATGGGTCAAAACCAGGAGTCGGGCCGCAAAAAAAAAAAAACTTCTAGCCCATGTCTCCATTTCGGGCTTGCCGCCGCACGCCATTTGATGGGGTGACCCAACCGATTTTTGACCACAGCCATCTCGATGTGGGGGAGCTTCCGGATGCCTCGATCCCAGGCTCCAGGACAGCGGTGCCGGCGAGCTCGGCTCCCGGCGCCGCTTGGAGCGAAGCGGGCGCTGCCGAAAATACCCCGGAAATCGGAAGGAGGTAGTGTCTCTGGTTTGTTAAAGGTAGGAGGTCGACCCTCTAAAGGAGGTATTTGCTGTGGAAAACCGGGTTTTCTGAAACTGCCGCACCTTGTGGAAGTCTGCCGAAGCGGGCGTTGCAATGGCGACGATCTCAGAGACTTGCGATGGAGCAAAGCTTGCTTTAAAGGAGACGTGCAAGTTTGCCACAGTCAAACCCAATTGACGATGTCCAAAGCTACCACTTCGCAGGATGAATCAGTAACCATCCAAAACTCCTTTAGCCTCTCCAAGCATCCCAACAGTTGCCCCATCCCAATGGGATCCCATTGGTTTTGATCCACAGCCAGGTGTGCCTCTTTCGTGGTGCACCGCGGTCAAGTTGACCATTGCAAACACCGTCCCTATCGATGCGACCCGGAAACCCGCCTTGGCGTGCGGCAGGCCAAAGGACGCCAGGAGCTGCGAGGGGAAAGGTGTGAAGGGGGGACCCTCTGCCCAACCTTTTTGGGAGGGAACACCCATCTGTCAGGTTTCTCAATCCGGGTTAGCATCTTTTTTAACCCAAGGAAGTGGACAATGGCCAGGTTCTGGATGAAAAGGCCCAGCATGTTCACGTCCATTGGGAAAAGCTGGGATGGCCCGCCACTGAGTTTGTCAAATCTGGCAGTGCCTGACATGGGTCATTCATGCCACACGAAATGGCTTGACTTTGGGAGGATTGGCCGGTTCTCTGCTCTCCTTAGCTTTAGCACACCATCCTATCGGCTGCCATACTAAATGTTGTGGGTCCAACCAAGTGACATCTCAAAATTACCCTCTACATGGCAGTTCAAAGGAAGCTTGAGAAACTCTCAAAATGCAACCAGTTTGAGGGACCCAGGTCTTGGCAGTGTCCCCCATAGGATAGGTCTGTTCGGGTTCAGCCACGGCACCATCCAAACCATCGAAGGCTGAAGGTTGAAGGAAGCATCGTAGTTCGGTGTGTGTGTGTGTGTGTGTGACTGATGGTTGTCTTATCAGGCGAAGCATGTGCTCCGCTCCGCCTAAAGCGCCACCAATAAACGCCTGACCAGTGGCACGAAGTAGCTCTTCCCGACAACAAATACAAGCTTTGGCTTTTTGGCATGCGAACAAAGCCTGAGAATGTTCGACATGAGCCACGCTTCCGCCCAAAACACACGAGTGTCTGGCCCGACATGAGGAAGCCAACCCACCAACAGCCCCGACCCGCCGACCTACCGACCCGCACCAGCTAAGAGCTCTTTTGATCTCCTCCTGCGCGGCACGCGCTTCTGCCCTAACTTCTTGACAGTCTGGGGGCGCGTGTCCTTGCGATTGAGCCACACCTGGCCAGGTTGGACAGCTGGGCTGAGGAGTGGCAGTGCGGAGGCTGGGAAGCGCCGCTGGGCAGGTACCTGGATTGGCCCCTTGCAGTGCCGGATGCGTGTGACTTACCAGAGTCCCCTGATGAAGTGTAGATGCCTCATCCTTGAAACCAACATCAAAGCATTCAGGAAAACCCAGGGGCGCCTTTGAACTTTACAGCAGAAGTGATATGTGCTGCTCCACTGGTCGTTTGTTGCAGTCTGACAAACCCAGCACAGCTGGTTTCAAGAGTCTAGTTGCTCAGAATTCGCTTGGATCACGCAAGAAGGATGCCCAACTTTCTGCAAGGTGCGGTGTGGTGGCCGATTGTTCAGCCGTGCCTGTTGACGCTCAGGCATTTATGACACAAGGACACATGCCTCTGCGGGACACTGGATTCTCCTTCACTTGAAGAACGTCCAACGATCTGATCACCCCACTCCACTTTTCCTCATCACCCGCTTTGGGATTTGTGTGCCCATTGATTGGTCGGCCTACACCCACTTTGTTATCACCAATGATTGCCGTGAAAGCTCATGTGGCCCTCTTCCAAAGAACACGGGCTACTCAAAGTCTGAATATCAGTTGCGTGATTGCCATGACTTTGGAGGGCCGGACGTGCTGGCGCGTGGCATCTTTGAAGCCCCATGCTGGGCTCCGTGGACAGTCTCGGAAGGGGGAAGCATGCCAACCTCAAGTTGACAAGGCTCAGTTGCACACTGCCGGACGGAACTATGAGAGCCCTTTGCCCCCGAGATCCATTCAAAGGGTCTCTCCTCTGTGTCCTGTCCTTGAAAGCTGGTAACGGATGCCTTGACGCTTGAAACACATTCAATAATTCGCCTTCCTGGAAGAAAAACTGAATCATTTTTGTGTGTGTGTGTTTTTAACCCAAAACCTGAAAGAAGAACTGACACCCCGGGGAATTTGGACCATCCACCTTCCCCTGGCCTTTGGAGGCTCTTCCCCCTGCTTCAGCCAGTCTGGAGGCCAGGCCCCCTGGCGCAGCCAGACAATCCCCCACCCACGCAGGCACGCGTGCACTCACCAAGACGTGCAAAGGTTAGGCTGACTACGCGCGTGTAAAGTTCAGAATGTTCTGTCGTCTGCTCGCGAGTTGTGTTTTGGGTTTGTTGGCAACATACAGGTGCATCAGCGCTGTCCTCTCCTGTAACTCAGACGAACTGGCTCGGCGCAGACTTCACCAGTCCAGGGCAGCTTTGGGCAGCGTGTGTCCTCGAACCGTTTTCAAGCTTTGTGTCTACACCTCGATCGCGCAATCTACTCTCTGGTGCCCAGAAGAATCAGCGCACACGCCCGCCCACATGCGCAGCCTCAATGCGCTATGCAGTTTTGTTGTTTGCGTCAAATACTGCGCGCGAACTTCTCGTATTTTGATAGGGTAGAATGCTTCAGAGGAGCCGTTCTCCAACATGCACTTGCAACAGCGTGCAAATGCTGTTGACAAACCTGCTTTTATCCCTTTGCAGCGTGTCGCCACCAGAAGGCAACAACTCCTCAGGCACATCGTAAGGCACTTTGGAGCACACTCCATGTTTCACGCCTTCTCGTTCGTATTGGTATTGCGACCTGGGAACTGGCCAGGCAGACCTTGCCCCCATTGGGCGGAGCTAGTGCCGACAGAAGCGGACTGTAGACGTCCGTGATTCCAGTGGTGGGATGGGGCGCCGGAACCTACACAGCTTGACCACCACGGGCCTGCAGTGGCAGATTGGAGGCGAAATGACCGGCTGTATCGCCCGGCCGATTTCGCACATCAATCATTTGTGGAAGCAACTAGCGGGCGGAAATGCAGGTCGTACATCCCCCCAGCCCAGGTCCAACACGGCAAGTTGAAATCTGTACAACACATACCGATGGAATGAACACACAGATGGTAACCACATGCATGATGGTGATCCATCTTTGTCTCTGCTGGCCTGATTTTTCTGGCTTGGTGGAGAAGGCGAGCGCCAAAGAGTTGGTCTCCTCTTGCTTACGTTTTGGGTGATCCTGTTTTGAAGCCAACGCGAAACCGATTCCTGATTTGGGGCGAAAGCTGGGTTCTCGGCTCTTGCCCAAAAAAACATTAACAAATGTGATGATGCCAATATCTCACTTTTCTCCCGCAAACATACATTCAAAGACTGAGGTCAGGGTGAGTGCTTGATAGGGCACCTTTGGGAAAAAACTTTATGCTCGCGGCAAATGTCCGTCATTGAGCTCTCCGGAACGTTGTGTCCAACGATCTGTGCCTGCTTGCGAATGGCCCAGAGATCCTGTCACGAGGAAAGGGGTCTCAAGAAGGTGTGTGTTGCTGTTTTGAAGGGAAAAAAATGAAACGGCCCATTTTATGTTGAGAAACACCCCAAGAATTCCATTGCCCTGAGCGTGAAGCATCCGCACTGCAAAAAACTTTCTGGTGACTCGTCTTGCTGTTCAGTCGGCACATGTGATGCAAAGACATGACACGTTTACATATACATATCATGGATGCTCTCATTGAACAGACACGTGGGGCAAATAGCCACTGGACCCTCATCAACAGGACCTAGATCAAAACTGACTTATTGAATTGACCACTATCAAACCTGGGCGGCCATTGCCCAGCGTGCTTGTTTCCAACTCATCTGTTAGAGGCAACCCTGGATGAATACCCCCCCCCCCTACACGAAACAATCCATCGACTTGATGCATGAGCCGTCAACATAGATTTGTGCATACGCGCTGCACTCTGCATCCCAACTGGCCAAACAAGCAAGTAAACAATCAGCCAACCAACCAACCCAACCAAACAATCAAGCAAATAACAATCAATCAAGCAAGTAAGCAAACAAACAAGCAAGCAAACAAAACAAAACGAACCAGACAGCCTCTGAATTCAATTCGAATGGCTTGGGGCTCGGGGATGAACTATGGAGTACGACAGAGGTATTGCGTGGACAAATATCATGGACCCTTTGACAGGGCTTAGGTTTCCCCCTCAAACATATCACAGAGGAAAATCAGCCACAAATCGGCCAACATGTCATGATATAGCCATGTTTAAACTGACGTAACAGGAAAACAGGGACTGTTGTGTGAGCACGCCATTTAACTCAAAGCATGTTTTGTCATGTCCTGTAGATTGAGGCACGGGACATGAAGACAAGCAACAGCCTAGGCAAAAAAATAGGCCCAAGTACCAAAGTGCAAAGCTTCCTGTCCCCGCGGAAAACATTTGATGGCAGGAAGCGGGCCTTTCCATGGGACAGGGCGACCCAAACCTGTGCGCTTGGCGGTGCCTGAGAAATTGAAGCTGAGGTCCCGAATGTGTCTTTCAAGGAAGGTGGTGCACTTGGCGCGACCTGCATCCCATCCCCCTCCTCCGGCACCACTCGAAAGGTGCCATCCACCGTGCTGCTCACTCTGAGCTGGAAGACCTGCAAGCCGTCTCGCAAAGCAAACCGGATCACAGAAACAGAGCCGTCGCAGAGGTGTGGCAATGCCAGGTCTCTGAGGTTTGCAATGTCTCAGTCTCACTTAAAAGATCGGCACCCCACTATGGCCGGCGGACATCTGAGTCAGCAAATCGGCGCTTTATTGGTTGGCGAAATTCATCCCCCCCACCCCGCCCTGCGCTAGAAGAAGCATGTCGAATTCTGGTCCAGAGTGACGGTCGCCCTTTTCGTTTGGCTGAACCACAAACCATGTCCAGGGTCCCTTCATTTTGATGGGTTTGTGCTCGGGCATGCCCAATCCCAGTGGGCTGGACTGCAAACTTAATCATACCCGACAGCAACCAACCGCACGCAGCAAAATCCTAGGAACACATCCAGCCGGGCAAAATCCTAGGAACATATCCAGCCGGGATTGTACAAACACAGGCGCAAGCACACTGCCGGCAAAAAGGAGTGACAGTGGGCCAGCATCCGTAAAGCAGCACAAACTTTTGTCGATGGCATGGCCGCTCCATTGCATACATCTGTACAGAGGCATCCATGCACTGTGGCAGGTAATGGTCCAAAACGATTGCATGCCCATTGGCTGGTCACACGCACCGTTGTGCGCCAGTGCATATTTGTGCGTCAAAAAATACGGCGTCTCCATCGGCTGGTTCCGCCCGCACGAGAGTCGTAGAGGTTGTGATGGCATTCCAGGAGGCTGGCTCTGCCGAAATTCAGACGGCTAAATATGCAAAATATGCTGGCGCCCGCAAATGCTGGTACCGCCACAAAAAGTGCATCTGCGATTGTTGGATGCACCAAGAGCATCAGCAATCCAAAGCTTAAGAAGTGGGCATGAATTACACAGACTCAAAGCACAGGTCCCCTCAACACTTTCTGACCACATGCCCACATCTTGGAAGCTCTACTTCAGCCATGAGCGAAGCGTCCCGCGCACCGCGCCCGTGACGGCAACGGCAAGTGAAATGGAATAAGCATCACCGCATTATAAGCCCCTAGGCGCCACCAGGGGGAACCTTTTTTTTCACCCTCCAAACCTGTTTCTTCAACCCTGCCCTCTTTTTCAACCCTTTAACCTTTTTATCTAACCCCCTCCCGTCTTTTTCAACCCTCCCCCCTTCTCCCCCCTTCCTTTCTAACCCTTGGAGGGTGGAAAAAAGGAACCCCCACCATCATCAGCAATACAGCTGGGTGAAAGCGGACGGCACAATCCCCACTTTGGTCCACAATAGTCATCCCTTTACTTACTCGCATGGTTTTAGGGAATTGCGCTATCCACTTCCACCCTACTGTACCTGCCGCTCTGCGGCCGAACACGAGAACGTGCACGAGATGGCATTGTCAAGCGTCATCTACTGAAAAGGCCCAGCCTCGGGTGACATGTTGTGGCCCGCAAGCATTACAAGTAAAGGTTAATTGGCACTCTCAACTGCCACACTACTTGGGAGGGGGGGAGGGGGGTTTGGCGGGTACCCTTTTTGGGGTGGCTTTCAAGGGAAGCTGTTCTTCGGAACCAAAGCATGTCGTGAGCCTGCGGCCTAGGGTGCAAAAGTGCCCATTTACAATCACCACCACCACAATCACCACAACCACAACCTCCACCACCACCACCGCCACTACCACCACCACCACCACCACCACCACCACTACCACCATCATGATCATCATCACAAGAAGCAACAGCAACAGAAGCCGCATGATGATCGGGGTATACCCTTGAGCGCCATAGCCAAACAAGGAGGTAATGTATCATATTGTCCTATCAAGGACATCTTTCAATCAAGGAACCAGCGCCTTGATGATCTTAATGCTCCAATCACAATCATGTGAGGGCGCATCGGCAGCAGTCAAGTGGCAGAAAAGGAGGCTGCCAAAACAAAAAAATGGAAATCCTAGCTTCACAGCGGCGCCGATTTGCACAAGCAAATGGCCATCCTCTGGACCCTGTCTCTTCTTTCGGGCCAATTTCCCCCCAAAAGCAATTTTGAGAAAACCCAATAATGCTCATTTTACCCCTTCAATCCTAGGGCGGAGATCTGTGAACCATAGCAGTGAAAGCGCAAAGCTGGGAATGGAAGAATTGCTTCTGTTTAGAATCAGGAACCCCGCCTCGATTTTTGGCTAAAAGAAGCCCCCATCCCCCCCCCCCCGCATTTTTTAGCATAGAAGCTCCTTCCGAGTGGAGCCTCTCGGACAAGATGTCCGACTCTGCCTCCGCACTCGGGCGGTTCTAGCTGACGCATGAAACGTAGCCGGGCACGGCCCAGTTCAGCTTTCAATTGGCTCCCAAAAGCGGCGTCTGTTGCCAGACCGGTAAATGGGTGGTACCTTTAGGAGGCAACCCTCATGTCAACTTTGCATTCATCCGGAGGACCGCGCTGCTCCTCCTTTCGCGGGGAATGAATTCATAGGCAGATTCTCCCGGTGCTCCGCATTTGTCTGAAGTCAAAATTATGGAATGTTTGATGTCCCTTTA